CCCCAAAACCCCAAAACCCCAAAACCCCAAAACCCCACTTTATCTCATTAATCAAATAATTTATGAATATTTAGTATTTATTCCTCCGCTTTCTCCTTCCAAATGACTTTGTAGTCAGATACGAAGGAGTTTTATCCTTGATAATCTTATCATCAAGTTCTTTCAAGTCTTTATACACCTCTTCGTTTTTAAGAATTTCAGCATCTATTTCAAGATCTATGTCAAACTGGAATGGGCCTATCTTCCTCTTGCTCTGCTTTTCTTCTTCCTCATCAAGAGCATCTCTGTCGGCTCCAAACCTTGCAGATTGTTTTGTCATCCTTTTAACAGTTTCTAAGAGCTGTTTTACTTTTGAGTTATGATCCTCTCCAGAGTCTCTTTCTGTATCTCCAAAATCAGCTCCATACCATTTGTTTGATAGAGTAGAATAGTCGAGTTCATTAGAAGTATGCTGGCCTAATGAAGCCACCATAGGTTGAGCTGTTCTATCTAACCCACCCCTTGCAGTGGCATGTTTCTTCTTATCTGGACCTTTAGTAAAGATTTTTCTTGCTTGAATATCTTGATCTCTCTTCTTCTTCACATCCTCTAGCATCATCTTTACTTTAGAGTTTCTCGACCCTGTCTCTTTCTCATGCTTAGATAGAGGGAAATCCCAAGGTTTATCTGGCACTCTCATAATTCCTTGCCTTAGAGTTCCCATAAGCTCACCTTTGAGATTCCAAATCTTGGCCATTCTATCCAATCCAGCAGTGAAAATCACTGGATAATCCGTCTCAGTGATATGCTTTATAGATTTTATAGAATCTTTGTGTGCTTTCCATTGAGCTATTTGTCTAAAACATCCTTCTTCGAGCTCTGGTTCAATCTTTCTCTCAAGAATTGCTGCATCTATAGGATGATTACGAGTCCTTACCAATCCCCATGCCTCCATCATAATCTTTATCTTCGCTATTTATAAACCTCTGCAGTATATTTAGAACTCTTGTTTGCAAATTTGAAAATTCTCCATGGGTTTCTCTTCATATTCCCAGTGACTACATCAACTGGCTGTAGGTCTATGCAGTTGAAGATATCAGAAGCATCTTGAATTCTGACACTGCCCATTTCGTCACCAATGATGATCTTCAAGATCTTTTTGTTAATATCGAAATATGAGTCAATACTGGTGATAGGACACATCTTTTGAAGAGTAAACATGTTTCTCCATTTGATAAGGAGTTTATTTTCTACATATTAATTTACTCACTTACTCTCTGAATTCAAACCGTTTGGAACAAGCCATAAGAAGAGCTCTCCTGTGTTATCACAAGTAATCAAAAGAGGAAAGGGATTGATGAATCTTACGATAGTGACTTCGTTCGAATGTCCCTTAAGCTCATCCTCAAGCTTGACCTTTTCATACTCCCAAATTCTAACTGTATGATTTCTACTTCCTGTTGCCATTAATCCTAGATTATGACTGTAATCAGCCGAAATAATGTCTTTGGAATGGCATCCAGCTTTACCTCTGAGGACTTTATCACAGGGGTTTTCTCTCTCAGACTTGTTATCCATGTGAATCTTGATGCATCTATCCCATCCAGTTGAGATAATAGTTTTGTCACCTCCTCCATAGCCGAGGTAGGATATTTCTCCATCATGGCTCTCGTATTCTGCAATCTGGACTCCAGAAAGAAGGTCAAAAACCTTTATGGCTCCATTATGATCTCCAACAATGAGTTTTCTGTGGTCTTGGTCAAATGTCAGGAAGGTAATATCTGCATTCATGATTTTCTTTAGCTCTCTAACTGGTTTTCCATGCTTTCAGTTCCAAATTTTGACAGATCTTTCTCCTGCAATATAGAATTCGAGTCTTATTGGACTGTATCTTGCACATATAATCGGGTTATCATCAGATAATTCAGGAGTGAAAGGCTTGCTATATTCAAAAACTTTGAACACCCTTGAACCTCAGACGAGTCTTCTGTGCTCAGGAATAGTCTGAAGACATGTAACTTCATTCACATTTGTAACATAAAATACCTGCAGACAAGAGTAATCACTAATATTCCATACTCGTACCATTCCATTGGTATCACAAGTGATGAAACATGGAAGGTTCTTTGGGATATTCACTCCAACTAGAGGATGCTCATGACCTTCTAGCTTGATGATATACTTTGCGTAATATGGATTCCAGACGAAAACAGCAAAATCGAATCCACAACTGACCAAAATTTTATGCTTCTCAGAGTACGCTATCTCTCTGACAGCCTTTTGGTGACCAAGGAGTTCTTTAGAAGCTTCTTTAGTGATTAAGTTGTAGTCAAGAGCTTCAGTATGGGTCTTGGTTTTGCTAGAGAGTTAATATTTAAGCCTACCTTGAGTGATTCATTCCTTTCGATTTAGAAGTACCTTTTACTGAGGAATCTAACTTCATGCCATCTTTAAGCCCATCTTCTCTTTTTTTAATTTTAGTTGAGGTCTTCAGATCCCACAGTCTGATCTTATTATCACAAGATCCTGTGGCTAGGAAGTTGATATTGGGCAGATCAACAATACAAAGAATGTTCTCCGGCTCGAACCATGGGGTATTGTAAGCAAGATATTTCTTATAGTCAAAATCTGTTTTGTCTTCCGACCTCTTAAGTTCCTCTTCTGCAAACTCGTTGCTGAATATCAGGTTTAACTCCCAAGCAAATATGGCTCCGTTGGTGCCTGCTGAAAACAACACGTCTTTGTGCTCGACGTAGCACAGACACCGCTGGGTGCATGGCACCTCCAGCTCTCTGAATATTTTGTAGTTGGCAGTTGTGGAGTCGTAGAAGTGGATTTTCTTGTTGGACAACAGCACAGCAATCATTTTCTTCTTAGAGATAAACTCAATCGCAAGAATGACACCAGACGCAACAATATCATTTTTGAGTCTCATGGTTTTACCATCATAGATCCTCATGGTTCTATTGTTATGTTCATAGAGCAGCATTTTGTCGAGTTGATCGAAGTAGTAAATCTTTCCAATATAATTATTATGAGTAGTTTGATCTACAACTTTGCTCTCAACATATTCAAAGCTTGATTTCTCAAGTGGCTGGCTAGACTCAATTTCATGCTCTATTAGATAGCTTGTAAGATCTTCAAACATGATCAGAGTTCCAGCTGAACTTGCTCTATAAAAGAGGTCTACCAATTCAGAGACAAACTCTGACCTGTGTATAAGCTTAGTATCTGATAAAATCTCCTTCATTATGTTAACAAAGTGATCGACATCAACTCAGCCTTTAGGAAAATGATCGAAAGCGTCAGAAATCTGTAGAAGTTTCATTGAATTAAGGTGATTTATAAGATCGAGTTTGTTGGGGTCATCCATCATGATGCTCTCTCCAACTTTATCATCATCTTCATTATGAGAGTCTTGTATAAACTTCTTCTTTTTGACTTTAATTTTCCTGCCATATTCATCGATCTCCTCTTCCTCGCTAGAACTATGTGGATAGAGGGCCAAGTCAGGATTTCTCTTGTTAATATATGAAAGGTGTGCGAAATTCTTCGCGATGACCTTCAGCCGGCTGGTAACTTCAGAATTCTCAAGCATGTTTGAATCAGATTCTTCTTTATAATTTTATACAATATTTAAATTTAATTTAGGGGTTTTGGGGTTTTGGGGTTTTGGGGTTTTGGGG